GCTATCTGCCTCTAAAACACTTTTTGAATCAAATTGAAACAGCTAGTCTTTCCTAAATTCATTTCAGATTTTTAAATTATCTTTATGGTGTGCTTTAACTTCAAAATTCAAAACATTTATTTCAAATCAGCTATCATAACAGTTTCTTTTCAGTGTTGTGTTTTAATGTCTTGCTTTTGAAAATGTGTAGGAGAGCATGTCCTCTGGATCATCTACATTATTCATTGGATGTAGACATTTTGATTTTATGAACTTCTAAGATATTGCTGCAAAAGACAAAACAGGTTGCACTGTTGTGTTGTAGACAGAGGTGCTTTGTGGTGTTTAGTAATTCTGGCTTTTCAAGGGTGCTTTTAGATCATTTTATGCTGAATAATGGATATTGGTTAGAGCATGGTTGTGTATTTCATCTGTTTCCCATCTGTATTCTTAGATGATCATTTGCATCTCAAGTATTATTCCTCATTTCTTACCCACAGTTTTAGCTCATTTATTAGTATCTTTGCCATTAAGTGGCATAAATGTTCTTAATAATATAAAAAATGAGCGCCTGGCTGGCTCAGTCAGAAGTGCATGTGACTCTTGATCTCACAGTTTTAAGTTCAAGCCTCACATTGAGTGTAGAGATTACTAAAAAAAAAATAAACTTAAAAACATAATAATATAAAAATGAACTCATTATGTGTGAGTGTGGTGAGCTGTTTCTTCTTGAGCTAAATTGGGACTACAGTCCAGGAATGTCTTTGGACAGATATTCCAGGGTTAGGGTCCTGTCTTAAATACTGAGTGAACAACTCTCTTTCTTGCTATACTAATTTTCTTCATTAAATTTGAATGTTAAAAGCATTGATTAAAAAAAATTAAGAATGTATGCCACATGTTCATTGTAAGTAAACAAGGAAATAAAATTAAAGCACTTAATATCTTACTACCTACAGGTAGCCAGTTAAAGATAGGATATGTATATCCTTCTGGTCTTTGCAAGCTTTGAGCCTTCTGTCTGTGCCATCTTAACTAAGATTAGATTATTCTGGTTACTTCTTGAGAAAATTTTGTGAGAATTCAGTCCATCACAGATTGCACTGAACTTTTAGATAGTCCAAATGGTTCTTTTTCCTCCATTTCATCTCAGAAATCTTCAAAATGGTAGGAGTGTCTCCTGTATCTGTGTATTTGTCTCAAACAAAATATAAAGGTAGATGGTTAAGTAAAATCATCTTTTTAAACATTGAAATGAATATGTCTAACACATTCTGCATCCCAGAGACTCTTGCCACACCAATTAACCAGAAAGTAAAGTATCCATTGTTGTTTGAATACATAAGTTTTTCAAGGTAATTCTCGATTTGTCTTTAAAATACATATTTCTGTCATTTTATTAATGGCAGATATGCTTCATTACATTACCTTGGTTCAGGTATATTAACTACATCATGAAAATATTTTTTAAACATACTTAATGCTCAAGATTTGATGGAATAGGACTTTAGCCATGTAATGGTTTGTTTGAGAGAATAATGCTGCTGAACAGATGCCTGGAAGAGTGGAATAATAGGGAGTAAGACAGCTAAGAGCTTGATAATAGGGAGAAAAGGAATGTTTTACTTGGTGATTATTGGGTGAATAGGCATTTCAATACTTATTAAGGGACTGCTCATACGATTTTTCTTCCTCTTAGGATTTTTTTAAATCACTATGTCAGTTGACATGGATATCATACTATAGTTCAACATCTTCCTATAATCTAAATTGTTGGAAAAGTTCATGTGATTAAAATCTTCCCCCTTTTATCTGTTTACCTTTTTAAAAAGTACACTATTTTTTTTTTATTTTTTTTTAACGTTTATTTATTTTTGAGACAGAGAGAGACAGAGCATGAACAGGGGAGGGTCAGAGAGAGGGAGACACAGAATCCGAAACAGGCTCCAGGCTCCGAGCTGTCAGCACAGAGCCCGATGCGGGGCTCGAACTCACGGACTGTGAGATCGTGACCTGAGCCGAAGTCGGCCACTCAACCGACTGAGCCACCCAGGCTTCCCAAAAAATACACTATTTTTTAGAGCAGTTTTAGGTTCACAGCAAAATTGAGCAAAGTATAGAGTTCCCATATACCTTCTGTCCCTGACACACAGTCTTCCACACCTGCATGGTACGTTTGTTACAGTTTGAACCTACAGTGACACATTACCACCCAAAATCCACAGCTTACATTAGGGTTCACTCTTGGTGTTGTACATTCCATGGGTTTTGACGAAAGTATGATGACGTGTGTCTGCCATGGTAGTACAGAGTAGTTTCACTGTCCTAAAAATCCTCTGTGCTCCACCTGTTCATCCTTCTCTCCCTCCAACCTCTGGCAACCACTGAACTTTTGACTGTCTCCATAGTGTTGCCTTTTCCAGAATGTCATATGGTTGGAATCACACTGTACATAATCTTTGTAGATTGGCTTCTGTCACTTTTTCTTCCACATCTTTTCATGGTTTGATAGCTCATTTATTTTTCTTTTTTAAACTTTTAAAAATTTTATATTGAATTTATGTAAACTAAAAAAAGGACAGCTCATCCATTTCTTCCCCCCACCCCCACCCCACCCTTTGCAGCCACCGATCTGTTCTCTTTATCTCTGAGCTTGATGGGTTTTTTCTTTTTATTTTTTTTAGATCCCACACATAAGACAGGTCATATAGTTTTTCTCTTTCTTTGTCTGACTTATTTCACTTTGCATATGATCCCTGAAGTCCATCCGTGTTGTTGCAAATGGCAGCATTTCATTCTTTTTTATGGCTGAATAATATATTCTTCTGTGTGTGTGTGTGTGTGTGTGTGTGTGTGTGTGTGTGTGTGTGTGTGTGTGTACTACAATGTCTTTATCCATTCATTCAACCAATGGACACTTGGATTGTGTCCATATCTTGGCTACTCTAAATGATGCTTTAGCAAATATAGAGGTGCTTTTATCTTTTTTAATTAGTGTTCTTGTTTTCTTTGAATAACCAGTAAAGTAATTACTGGATCATATGGTAACTCTATTTTTCATTTTTTGAGGAAACTCCATACTATTTTCCATAGTGATTACACCAATTTACATTCCAACCAACTGTGTACAGGGGTTTTCTTTTCTTCACGTCCTCACCAACCTTGTTATTTCTTGCCTTTTTTATAATAACCATTCTAACAGGCGTGAGATGATATCAGATTGTGGTTTTGATTTGCATTTCCCTGAAATTAGTGAGGTTGAGCATCTTTTCATATGTCTGTTGGCCATCAGTATGTCTTTACAAAATGTCTATTCAGGTTTTTTAATCAGATTGTTTGTTTGCTATTGAGCTGAGTTCTTTATACATTTTGATATTGGCCCCTTATCAGATTTATGCTTTGCAATGATTTTCTCCCATTCAGGAGGTTGCCTTTTCATTTTGTTGATGCTTTCCTTTTAGTTTGATATTGTCTTGTTTATTTTTGCTTTTGTTGCTTTTGCTTTTGGTGTCATATTCAAAAATATCATTGTCAAAGAGCTGGCCACTTTTGTTTTCTTCTAGGAGTTTTATGCTTTTAGGTCTTATGTTCAAATCATTAATTTTGAATTAATTTTTGTGTATGGTATAAGACAGGGGTCCAATTTCATTCTTTTGTATATGTCTGTCCAATTTTCCCAGCATCATTTCTTGAAGAGAATGTCCTTTCCCCATGGTATAGTCTTGGCTCCTTTGTCATAAATTAATTAACCATATATGCATGGGCTTATTTTGAGACTCTCTATTCTGTCACATCAATCTATATGTCTATTTTTATGTCAGTATACTGTTTTAATTACTATAGCTTTGGAAGGTTCTTCCACATCTTTTCATGGCCTGATAGCTTTTTTTCTTTTTAGTGCTGAATAATATTCCATTGTCTGAATGTACCACAGCTTATCCATTCACCTTCTGAAGAACATCTTGGTTGCTCCCCAGTTTTGGCAATTATGAATAAAGCTTCTTTAGACATCTGTATGCTGGTTTCTTTCTTTCTTTCTTTTTTTTAAATTTTGGTTAACATACAGTGCAATATTGGTTTCAGGAGTAGAATTCAGTGATTCATCACCCACATACAACACCCAGTGCTCATCACAAGTGCCCTCCTTAATATCCATCTAGCCTATCTCCTACCCACTTCCCTCCATCAACCCTCAGTTTGTTCTCCATCATTAAGAGTCTCTTGTGGTTTGTTTCCCTCTCTCCTCTTTTCTTCCCCCATCCCATATGTTTATCTATTTTGTTTCTCTTTTTTTTTTCTTGGTCTGTTTTGTTTCTTAAATTGCACATATGAGTGATGAAATCATATGGTATTTTTCTCTCTCTGATTTCTTTCTCTTAGCATAATACATTCTAGCTCCATCCACATGGTTGCATTCTTTCTGATGGCTGAGTAATATTCCTATGTGTGTGTGTACCACATCTTTTTTATCCACTCATCACTTGATGGACATTTGGACTCTCTCCATAGTTTGGCTATTGTTGATGATGCTACTATAAACATCAGGATGCATGTACCCCTTCAAATCTGTATTTTTGTATCCTTTGGTAAATATCTAATGGTGTGATTGCTGGGTTCTGGGGTAGTTCTATTTTTAACTTTTTGAAGAACCTCCAATATCCATAAAATAACTTACTGGAGTTTTGATTGGGATTGCACTGAATCTATAGATTTCATCTATTGTCCTATAGATCAAGTTGGAAAGTAGTGATATCTTGACAATATTGAGTCTTCCTATTCATGTGCATAGGATATCCATTTATTTAATTCTTTGATTTCATCATCAATTTCACAGTTTTACTCATAGATCTTGTACATATTTTGTTAGATTTATGGATAAGCATTTCATATTGGGAGTGGGGGATGCTAATATAAATGGTAATTTTTAATTTCAAATTCCATTTGTTCATTACTTGTATCTGCTTAACTTTTTAGGTGATTAATGGATGGCTGGCAGTTGATGTATATACATATATTCAGAAATGTTTTGCCACCTGAGACTGGTGAGAAGGTAAGCTGTGTGGTCCAATCTGTAAATAGTGTGGGTGGGGGTATCTGTTATGCATTTGGATAATTTTAACTTATTTTTATTTTTCAAATTCTAAAATTATATTATGATGGAGGGCAGGAACGAAAAAAGAAAAAGAAAATTCATATTAACATCCAGACCCTCCAAGAGTTCATTCAGGGCAGAAGCTGAAAAAAAAATACCATGTTTCAGAATAGTTCAGTATGAAAAATTTAAGAGAAAAAAAGATAAAGATTGTCCTTGGCACATTTTTTGACATGTTGCACTCAAGTCTATGCTGTCATATGGAAAACCACTTTACATTTAAATTGTATTTAATTGTATAGTAAGGTCATTTGATTACTGTATTTGCTACTAATGATATATAATCTAAATCCTACTTCAAGAAAGGATTTGAGTTCAAATATATGAATTTAATTGACATTGTATAATAGGCATATATAGTATAATTGAAAGAGATCAAAAGCCCTGTAGAGAAAAAAAAAATCATACTAAAAAGCAGAACTGATTAAGCATCTGACTTTGGCTCAGGTCATGATCTTGAGGTTCGTGAGTTTGAGCCCCATGTTGAGCTCTGTGCTGACAGCTCAGAGCCTGGAGCCTGCTTCAGATTCTATGTCTCCCTTTCTCTCTGCCCCTCCTCACTCACACTCTATCTCTCAAAAATAAATAAACATTAAGAATTAAAAAAAAAAAAAAAAAAACCACAACTGGTCAACAATTACTCAGACATCAAATTCAGTCCTGGCTTCTTGGTAGCCAAGTCAAAAAAGGGGAAAATATTGTTCATTTGGCTCAAAATATATAACTACAAGACAATTTGACCTGCTACATAAAAATATGTGAAGTTTTAGTTTTCTGAAACATACTTGGCAGTAATTAGTTCCTTTAAATAACTATTCTGTGCAAGTAAATAGTTCCTGGCAAAAGGAAGTTGTTTAGAGGAAACACTTTTTCCACCAAGTTGTAAATAACAAGGATTCTCAAACAAAGGGAGACTTTCTCTGACAGAATTCCTGACACAACTGTGAAGAGATGAAGGGGGAGGGGGAGTGGCAGGGAAACAAAGCAACTGTGGGATACAGTGCCCTGAAAAACTGTTCTTCTGCAGATGAGGAGACATTCTTCATGGTGTGGTATTTTTAATAATATTCAACCACAGAAAACCAGGCTAAAGTATTGTGTTTTCATGCTCTGATACAGGAGAGACCATAGGAGCCTGGAGGAATGAGTTCTGTAACATCTCATGGACCATTCCCTTCAGTGATGGTTGCCTCCTCACTCCATGCCTTTGACAGGCAGTGAATAGTAGTGGTTGTAGAATAGAGCCACGCTTTTCCAGCTTGTTTTTATTCCAGCCTTCAGAAAACAGTATTTTAATCATAATCCTTAAAATACAAGTTTCATAATAATAGTTACCCAGTGATATTTTCTTTTTTTTTTAAGTTTATTTATTTATTTAGAGAGAGCATGCACGCGCACACAAGTTGGGGAGGGGCAGAGAAAGAGATGGGGAGAGAAAGAGTCCCAAGCAGGCTCCACACTGTAAGCACAGAGTCGGACACAGGGCTCAAAGCCGCCAACCTTGAAACCAGGAGCTGAGTTGAAGTCAGAGGCTTAACCAACTGAGCCTGAGAAAATATCCAGTGATATTGGGGCGTCTGAGTGGCTCAGTCGGTTAAGCTTCCGACTTCAGTTCAGGGTATGATGTCTCTGTGCTGACAGCTCAGAGCCTGGAGCCTGCTTCGGATTCAGTCTCCCTCCCTTTCTGCCCCTCCCCCTCTCACGCTCTGTCACAGCTCTCTCTCTCTCTCTCTCTCTCTCTCAAAAACAAAACATTAAAAAATATGTATCCAGTGATATTTTCTATTGTGCATCCTCTCTTTTTTAATGCCGGTTCATAGCCCAGTAAGTTGATTTTACAGTGCTATGGATCATGATGAACACTGCCCTGGAGTAACTGCAGTGCAAACTCTTTGTTAATTAGAAATCACATCATGTGCAAAACAGATACCAGTAGTGACATTCTTTAGGACCTAATCCCCTGACGTGTTGTTAATGGCTCTGCATTTAACTCAAAGCAGCTTTGCTCTTATAGGTAGGATAACTTTCCTTTTTGGAAAAATGCAAATAATTTGACAGATCTCTCTCTTGCATAGTCTGTTCCACAAAAATTAGAAGGAAATTGTGCACGTATTTTTTAATGTACTTGGGATGCTTCCTCTAGTGCAGAGGTCAGCAAAGTATAGTCCATGAGGCAGACGGGCCCACTGCCTACTTATGTGAGTGAAGTTCTGTGACCGCGGCTACACTCATTCACGTGCTCATTGTGGCTGCTTTCCTGCTATAGCAGCAAAGTAAGATAGTTGTAATACAGGCCACGTGGCCTACAAAATCTAATCTTTTCCTTAATATCTTGCAATTTCAGATTTTCATGTGCTGAATCTGCTCGATTTCAAGCAGTATAATATTGTTTTCCATTTACCTTTCCTTGATTGTTTTGTTTCCTTTCATTAAAAACCTACTATACATTCATTTAACGTACATTAAAAATAATACTTGGGGCACCTAAGTGTCCGACTTTGGCTCAGGTTATGATCTCGTGGTTCATGAGTTTGAGCCCCACACTGGGCTCTGTTCTGACAGCTCAGCGCCTGGAACCTGCTTCAGATTGTCTCCCTCTCTCTTTGCCCCTCCCCCGCTCACACTCTCTGTCTCTGTCTCTCTCTCTCAAAAATAAATAAACATTTTAAAAAATTTAAAAAATAAAAACAATAATACTTGTGCCAGACCCTGTGCTGTGGTGGTTATAAGATACCCACTGAGCTCTCTGGCCTCTCCGGGTCCACCAAAGGATTTGTCCCGAAGCCACGCTTTCCTGGCTGTCAGTGACCAAGCAAAGCAGGAATACTAAGTCAGGCTCACTCCAGCAAGACACAGGACTCTGCCAGTGGGCATCTTTGGCCCAGGGACACTCCACTGGCCTACCTGAGCGCTTCTTGGAACTGTGCTGCAGCCCAAGACTTCCTACCCAGTCCTGCCTCCCCTCTCCCCTACAGGTGTCAGACCTAACTCCTGGTTTGAAAGTTCTCCCTACCTTCTCCCTTTCCCAGCACTTCTCTCGCACATCTAAGTGTGTTTGGCTAGTGCTTTTCAGCAGATGCCAACTAACGAACCCGAACAACGGCAAGTACACATGTAAACCATGTTTACAGCCTTCAAGGGTGCATGATAGCTGAGGAGAATGGGTGTGGGTGGAGGAAGAGAACAAATGGAAACATCTCTCACATGTTATGGTATGGTGCTCCAAATATGCTGGGTCCACAGTTTCTGTTTTTAGAGATTAGAAGAAGGGAAGACTGTTTATAGTGAGGATACTAAAGGGAAGTATCTGGGGGAAATGGGCATCTTGCCTTCTGGCACGTAGCACTTACACAATAATTGTTTAGTGAGTGAGTACTGTTTGGGTAGATGGAACTAAGGCACAGGGAGCGTGTTTAGGGCTCAGAAACCACGCAGAAGAAAGGGAAGAATGAGAGAGATCACTGAGAGTTGACCTGAGGTGTCTAAAGAAGTGGTAGGAGGTCATGTTGTAAAGACAGATTGGAAATGATTACAGAGGACTTGAATACCAGACTAAGAAGTGGAGTTTATTCAGCAGGAGTTGAAACACCAGCAGAGGTGTTTTAGCAGGGAATACAGTGGTAGTGGAATTTCAGGAAAATTAACCTGTATGTAATATGGTAGGGATAACACTGGAGGGTAGACGGATGGTGAGGCTATGCAGTCCAGCCCTGTGGTGATAAATGGGGAGCACAGAAAATGGAAAGAAGGAACGGTTTCCAGGGACACTGTAAAGTGAGAAGAAATAACCCACTTCCAGAGCACCCCAAAATGGGGTGGGGGTGTGAACTGCTTTGGGCAGTGGTACCTCTGCAGGTTTGTGCTTTGGCAACTCTGAGAACAGTGTTACCCGAATGACAGAAATAAGGAAGATAATCCTGGATTGAACTGCTTCCTTGCGTTCTGTATCCAGGCAGAGATTAGAAGGAAGACAGTGACCTCTATTCCTTTTTATAGACACAAAATTTGACAGGCTGACAGGACAGCTAAGTGTCCGTGAGACACTTAGAAATGAGAACTGAAACTCAAATGGGGACTGAGTGGAGCCATCACCAATCTTTACTTATGCTGCCCCACTTTGAGGACTCGGGTACCTGTTTACTGTTTCCTTTATTGTTCAGGCTCCTGTTGTAGTCCTTTGTACACAGCCTACATATACTGACTTTGTAAAAGGGTCAAATATATGCAAAAAAAAAAACCCCAAAACAAAACCAAAGGTAATCTGAAAATATGCTGGTGGTCTCCAGATTGTTAGCAAAATCTCATAAATGTTTCGATAATCTCTCATTTTAAAAATATAAAACCTTTCTATAGATTCAACACTGTATGAGACAACACTCATGCTCAATTATCTATGAGGTAATGTATTAAGACAAAAATGTGCCTAATATTTAGACTTCTTTATAGACCATTATGGAATGGAAAAGGTAAAATTATAATGTTCAAAAATAGATGTCGTGGAAGTGCTTCCCCAAAATTGCAAATATTTTCATTTGGATTTAAAACTACACTTTAAAAAAACACTCCTAGGTGAGTTATGCCAGAATCTAAGAATGAGAATGTTAAGTTATCCAACTAAAATAATTTTAGCATGCTAGCAATGAGGAAGTAAACCAAGGGACATCTTGTATCTCTTTTTAAGCATTATAATTTTCAAAATATTTTTCACTATAAAGAAAAGATTATATTATTGGATATTGAGGTTTTTTTATCTGAAAAAAAAAATGTTATAGAAAATTGTCATCATCTGTAGTAATGCCATTTAGTATTTCATAATAGGCTTTGAGGGGAAATTTGGAAATTTCATTATTAATTCATATTATTTTTTCATATTGCACCAGAAGAATTTAAAATCACTGTTTTTAGAAGCCACGTGGTACTCACTGCTTGTTAAAACTTTAATATATTTCTTAATTTAATTTTAAATTCTTTTTAAGTATAACTGACATACAGTATCCTTAGTTTCAAGTGTACATCATGAGTCAATGTTTTTATACATTATTAAATAATCTCCCTGATAATCATAGTTAACCATCTGTCACCATACAAAGTTGTTCTGATATTATTGACTATATTGCCTATGCTGTACATCACATCCCCGCAACTTATTTATTTCAGACGTGGACATTTGCTTGTCAAAACTTTTATATATTTCAGAAAACCACAGTTTTGGTTTCTGTCTTGTTTCTATGGTATCTTCCATACATAATAATTTTGATGTTATTGTCACTTTATGCATTGAGGATCTGAGTGTGTGTGTGTCAGTGCCTTGATATAATAAATCTGAATCTTTTTAAAAGGTTATGTCTGGAGAAGATATTTCCACACTGGTTTCTCTACTCAAGAGCTTTATCTGGAGCTGAAGCAGTCAATGCCTTGAGGCCATTCTATTTTGCAGTACATCCAGATTTCTTTGGACAACACCCCAGAGAGAGGGTAAACATTTATTTATTTATTTAACCTTTAGTTCACATTTCAGTTTATTTTATTTCTTTTGACACAGTATAATACAGAGTTTTATAAATTTGAATTTTTCTGTCATGGTGATAAAGTCAGTGTTTTGAATTAATTTGAAATATATATACTGAAAATTGAAAATATAGCTATGGATTTTTTTATGAAATCTGAGGAAATGGAAAATACATATATTGCTCTCTGCCCCCAGTTCCTGACACAAAGCTCCTAAAACCCTTGTAAATTCCTAAGTGGTAGCAGCACCAGAAGCGTCTTTTGTTCTAATGAAGTGACCCTGGGTGGCTCCTGGATGAGGGCTGGTCGCCAGAAAGACCAAGGCATGATTAGAAGCTTGGAATTTTCAGCTCCAAACCTCAACCTCCAGAGAAGAGAGAAGAGCTGGAAATAGAGTTAAAAATTGATCATGCCTAGTGTGGAAGCCTCCATCAAACTCCTGTAGTGTGGGGTTCAGACAGCTTCCAGGTGGGTAAACACATCTACACTGGAGGGTAGGGCTCCCCAACTCTGCAGGGACACAAGTTCCCTGTGTATCTCTTCATCTGGCTGTTTATCTGCATCCTTTACATTCTTTAATACTGTAAACATAGGTAAGTTTTTCACTGAGTTCTGTGAGCCGCTGTAGCAAATTAATAGAACCTAAGGAGGGGGTGCTGCAAATAGCTGGTTGGTCAGAGGCACAGGTGATAACAGGTGCACCTGGCATCTGGCGTGTGTGTGTGTGTGTGTGTGTGTGTGTGTGTGTGTGTGTGTGTGCGCGCGCGCGCATATGGGGTGGGGGGAGAGGACAGTCTTGTGAGACCGAGCCCTTAACCTGTGGGATCTGATACTGTCTCTGGGTGAGTAATGTCAGAATTGAGTTAAATTGTAGGGCACCCAGCTGATGTCACAGAGAATTGCTTATTGTGGGGAAAAATCACCCATTTGGTGACCAGAAGTATCAGAAGTGAAGTGTTTTGTGTGAATAATAAAGGAGGCACACAGGAGACAGACTGAGTTTTTCCTTTATATGGAAGCTGTCATTTTTAATGAAGTCTATAAAGCTATCATGGAAACTCTTTACAGTATTAGTAATCATGTTTTCTGATCAGTTTTCAGAGTAAAATTGAGTGTTAGAAAGAAAATTTCAGGCTTCTATGACCATGGTCCATCCTATTGTTAAGGATGCTTACAAGGGGGGCGCCTGGGTGGCTTAGTTGACCATCCAGCTCTTGATTTTGGCTCAGGTCATGATCCCAGGGTCGTGGGATGGAGCCCTGCATCGGGCTCCGTGCTGAGCGTGGAGTCTGCTAAAGATTCTTTCTCTCCCTCTGCCCCTCTGCCTACTCACACTCTCTCTCTCAAATAAATGTAAGAAAAAAATTTTTTAATAAAAACTAAAATGTAAAGTAAAAAAAGGATGGTTACAGGAAGGTTTTTTAGTCCCCTAAATGGTTTTCCCTTCTGTTGCATGCCACTGATTAATTCCCTACAGCCTCAGTTATTGTATGTTGAAGGAATGCAAACTGAGATGAAAAGGAACTTACAATAAACTTAGTGTGAGGGTCAATATTTTTGACATTAGATAGAAATTATTTCACTGGTTCTGTTTATCTTCCTTAACATTAATACCTGGTTTAACATGATAAGGAATTTAAAACTCTTGAAAATTTAGAACATTATTATATAATTTTTTTCTACTTGTGGAAAAAAATAATTTTGCTTCTTTGCTCTAGGAAAATATTCTGATTGTGATATTTGATACATATGTTGGCTACTCAAGTTCAGATCCTTTCTAAGTGATTGGTAAAATGAATCAACAGAAAAATAGCCATTACCTCGGGGTTGCTAATTACCCAGTTTTTAAACCCAGCACGTATGCAAAAATTAAGCCTAGTAGTAGGTGAATGTTTTCCTTCCTCCATTGTAGCAGTATTCTCGCACAGAGAGTCATGATACCAGGCTTTGCCTTCCAGGAAGCAACTTTATTCCTGGGGCACTGCTTAGTTGGGTTCTTACCAGAAGAACTGAGGCCCCAGTGCCACATGGCATAGTTTTTAATGTATTTTTTACTTCTTTGTCTTCCATATATGGTAACACACAAACATGCAGTCTGATTAAGTGGTCTCATGTTACAAGGTCCTGAGGGATGTTGTCATAAGCATATAGTCAGATTGCCTTGAGGGTTTTTTTTCTTTCCTTAGGGAGGGGACCCTACCATATTCCCCCCTTTCATGCTCAGACCCCTCTGTTTTGGGTCAAAGAGCATCATCTTGGTTTAGAGGTTTATATTTTTATAACACCATTACATGAGTGCTGTCTTTTTTTTTTTTTTTTTTTTTTTTTTGTAATCATGGCCTCAGTGAGACTGGAGGCAGACTGGGGAGCTAAGGAAGGTAGGATTAAGCACCCTCCCAGAATTAGGAGGATAATTTTTATGAGAGTTTTGAATCCCCTGACAGTTGAGAATCCTCCAAATAATTCCCTGGGGTTTTAACCATTCCAGGCCTGGTTGGGGACATGAGCAGTCCTTTTCATTTGTTCTGTGATCTCTTCTATGACTTTTTCTCATTATCTGTAGCAGCAGTTGCTTAAGTTAAACTTTTTACAAACTCCTCCCTCAGAAGCAAGCAGATAATTTAAGTCCAAGCGATTTTGATAGATAGCATTGCCCATTTGGTTTGTTGCTTGGCTAGTAAGGTAAGAGCCCTGGCAGTTTCATTGGTTGTAATTTCTACAACTGCTTGCACTCTAATCGTATGGTTTAGCATGTAAATGGGAGTATGGTAGCCCCGGGACCATCCTCTGCCCAGGTGGCAGGGCCATAATATTGGATTATACACACAGGAAGCCATTTATTATCTTTTTAATTGCCAATTGGTAAGGCACACTGCTTCCTTTGAGTCTCCCTGTCCCCATACACTTGGACTCCCAAATGTTTCCCTCTAGCAAGTGAGAGCAGGAAGAATGATGGATGAATAGTTTCCAGTACATATGACCCTGACCAGACGGAGGGAAGTACTATATAGGCTGTCCTTCCACATAATCTAGTATAGTCTACCTGGGCCTGCCATTTGATGGCTGCGTCGACATTGTCCCAGGCCTCTCAGAGATGAGAGAAGTTAGACAAGGAATGGGGATCTGGCTCAAGGTGATCTGGGGTCCCCCACCATTGGATTTTCCGGGCAGTTCGGTTATAAAATCTTTGGCCTAGGTATGTTAAGTTTTTAACAGAGACGATGATGAACTTTTTTTCCACCAAGCAAAACATTTTTTCCCAATAACTGAGCTTTTGAGGAGCCAGACCCCGGTAGTAGGACTGGGGTATTTTGTTTCACTATAAGGTTTGTGGGAATCTAATTTTCTAGTCCCTTATGGCCATTGTTTCCCCATGTTGGTACCAATGAAGTATCCTATCCCCAAGAGGAAGGTGAGTGCTAATAGAAACCTCTCCCCACATTTCCGGGTCAGCCTCGGCCAATCCTATGGCAAAGAGTAGAGCAAGAATCACAATAACGGTGAGAAACAAGGCGTGACAGTGCGTCACAGTAAGGAAACAGAAAATAAGGACAGTCTTCTGTTTCACCGGACCGTCCATTCCTCAAGCTTCTGCCGTGCCTAGATCAGTCAGCTTCCAGAGTGACTGAAGCAGGGCTGCGGTCTCCCAGAGCCTCTGGGGTTGCAGATTGCTTCTTCCATATGGTCAGCTTGCAAGGCGTTGATGGATCAGGAAGGCACTCCCAGTTTCGAGATGAGGGCTTCACTCTGCTGTGATGAATCCAGGGACCTACCTCGGCCACCTTTACTGCAGTAGGGGTGGACAAAATGACAGTGAAGGGACCCCTCCAGAGGGGTGTTAGGGGTTGGACGTTTCACTCCTTTATCCATATCGCATCTCCTGGTTTAAAGGGGTGAGCGTCTGCGGTCAGACTCACAGGTAATCGCTCCCAGACTCAGGGGTGTAAGATGGTTAGGGTAGAACCAAGGGCCCACATCTGTTGTCTTAGGGTTAGATTGTCTGTCTCATTTACATTCCCCGCCTTGTACCCTTGATAATGGAAGGAGGGCACCCAAAAAGGATTTTATAAGGGGAAAATCGCATCTGCTTCTTCAGCCTCCCACCTGCAGCTGCAATCTGCCTCCCTGAAGGTCCCTTATCTCTCCCTGCCTCATGTTAACTCTTTTCCTATTCATTCCTCCCCCTGGAATAGGGCCCCTAACTGCCATTAGGGAACAGGGATGATGACCGTTCTGGTTTCTTCAAGCTGATAAGGGACGGTGTAGGGGTACAGCAGTTAGAGTCTACTCAAGGATTGTTCGAGTGGCCCACAGTATGGTTTTACAGGAAGGCTGGCAGGCATGAGGTGGCATAAACATTAGCAGACACAAAGAGAAGAACTCAAAGTAAAGATTATACTGACCAACAAGATGGCATCTTAAGATAATGTCTACAGTTTCCAAACATGTGAAACAGTCTAGGAGAGACCCTGACTATGTAAACAATATAGGTTGGGGAGTCTCTCACAACCCAGGTGATGGAGAAGCAGGAGAGCAGTGGTGACTCTATTTCCAAGAGTTTGGCCCTAATTTAATTTAAAAAAATTTAAAGCATCTAATGCTTGTGAGGTATTATTTAGAGTTTTGCTGAGTATAAGCAGACAGCCTGCTTTATTTTGAGGTGTAAAACTTTTTTAACGGCCAGGAGTTCTATTAGAGAAAGAGTCAAAGCAGCCATTTACCATTATTAATTTGCACAATTTTAGGTAAACCAAACCTGGGTATTATTTTATAAAGCAAAATTTTTATTACTTGTTGTGCCTTTTTTTTTGTTGCAGGAGAAGGCCTTTATTCAGTTAGTGAAAGTATCAATCCATACCAACAGGTGTTGGAATTCCTTTGACCTTGGCATATGAGGGAAACCTAATTGTTAGTCTTTCCTGGATAGCCTTCGGTTCCTTGATTGCCTGAGGGAACAAGTTTGTGGTTGAAAGGATTGTTTCTAAGACACACTTCATAGGCTGACACTACTTGCAGAACTGTCCTTGACAAATTTTTGTTTAGTAAACATCCTTTGGGCCATTTGATAAGGTTTGTCCCTCCCTCAGGAAAGGCCTGGTGCTGTGTTTTAATGATGTTTAGCTCTGTGAGCTTGGTGATAGTAATTGCCCTCCTGTGTTTGTAACCATTCCAAGGGCTAGAAACAGTGTCTAGGAGTCAGACCCCAGTTTGTTTGTTTATTTATCTTTTTGGAGAGTAGGTGGGATTGAGTCTCCTTTAATAATTGATATAGCAGGCAAACTATTTTCCTGAACCCTGATATGCACAGCCTACAATGTCTAGTAATTTCCAAAAGCTCACATAACTGTCTATCTGTCCTGGAGTTGGTAGCACCATAGTCTCTAATTCAGTTGTAATGTCCCTTTCTAGCAAGGGAGCAAGGCTCTCTGGCATTATCAGGAAAGAACGAGAAAAAATTAGGTTTCCCCATATACATCCCAGGGGCTGAGAGAAAAATTTAGTTAGACGTTTTCCGGAGATGCCTCTAATCATCATGCTGCGTTTGGATAGTTGGCCTGGAGTGGAAAGGAGGACAGAAAAAGTAGCTCTGGTGTTAAGAAGGAAATCAACCAGTTTTTCTTCTATATTTAGAGTCACCCGAGGCTCTGGGTTTCTGATAGACAGTTGGTTTAGGGGAGTCACCGTGAAGAGCCCCAGACATTGGTTATCTGAGCCCTCATAGATAGAGGTCCCCAATACATTCAGATTACCAGTGATTGTCTCCACATCAGGAGCATGGCTTATGGGGTTTTCATTTTGGTTGTCCCCTCTGAAGATGGTCTCATTTTAGTGCTCTGAATGGCCACATAAATGGCACATTTGAAAATCTGTATATAACTTTTGACTCCCCCAAATTTAACTACTAATAGCCTACTGTTGACCAGATGTCTTACCAGTAATATAAATAATCAACACATATTTTACATGTTATGTGTAATATATACTAAAGTCTTAAAATAAGCTAGAGAAAAGAAGATGTTATTAAGAAATCATGAGGAAGAGGGGTGTCTGGGTGGTTCAGTCAGTTACACAGAGAGTGCAGAGCCACTTCAGGTCCTCTGTCTCCCCTTCTCTCTGTCCCTCCCCTGCTCGTGCCCTCCATCAAAAATATGTATTTAAAAAGGAAATTATAAGGAAGAGAAAATACATTTACTGTGTATTTACCCAAAAAGAGTCTGCGGATAAGTGAGTCTGTGCAGCTCAAATCCGTGTTGTTCAAGAGTCAGCTGTATTTCCGTTTACTCTCTCACTGTGTTTGTGTGCCTCCTCTGTACCAAGCCGTGGGTCCAGGGTTTCTACTGGGACTTGGTCACATAGGTGTGGCGTGTCCTTTCCTTTCTTGTTTAAGTATCTCCTTTTCATGAGGCTCTCCCAGACTGCGCCATTTGAGACTGCCTGCCACCCCACCTTGCTTCCCAGCACTCTGTCCCCCATGCCCTGCCATAGTGTTTCTGCTGCTGTGTGTGTCCCCTTCCCTCACATGTCAAAAACTGGCACCAAGAGGCCAGCTCTGAGCAGGCAGTTCACCCTTCTTGGCACACATGTTCAGTCTGGTCTTCTCTGCACTTGTGCAGGACACCCCCATCCCTCTTCTAGGGAAGCAGACTTAAAGTGCCATCTAGTCAGCATCAGGCCAGGGTCTCAAAGTGAAACACAGTTATCGCTGTTTTATTGTTTCTTCATTTTAACTCCATTGTAAAATACACAAAGCATTTCCAAGTTTCAAAAATCAAAACTAAATGCAAAGCTTACTCAGAAGTCTCACTCCTGTCCCTGTTTCCTTTACCCCATTCCTGTGAACTTCCTGTAGGCAGCCATTTTTATTAGGTTCTTTCTTGGTTGTTCTGCCTATTTCTTTCTGGCAAAAGTAGAAACTTGTAGCAAAACATAATAAGATTTAGTCTTAGCAGGAAATGTACCTTAGTCCACTGGATCACAGCTAAGAACAGCATATTATAATCAAATTAAACAGACAAACAGGGGCGCCTGGGTGACTCAGTCGGGTAGGTGTCTGACTCTTGATTTCAGCTCAGGTCATGATCTCACGATTCATGAGTTTGAGCCCCCCATCGGGCTCTGTGCTGACAGCATGGAACCTACTTGGGATGCTTTCTCCCCTCCCTTCCCTCTGCCCCTCCCCTGCTCACAAGCTCTCTCTGTCTCTCTCTCAAAAAATAAAAATAAAAATAAAAAAATAAAGTGTTCCTAATTTCAGATCACACAATGTGTCTGAGAAGAAATCTACAGTGATAAGAAGCATGGTTACTATTTATGCCGTTCTGTAGAGCTGTTCCTTCACTAAAGGATGTTACTTTTTTCACTTAAAACATTGGAAATAATTCCATGTCAATTCCTAGACTTCTACACCACATTCTTTCTCTCCCTTCTTTTTTGGTTGTATAGTACTCCATTGAATGAATGTACTGTAATTCAACCAATCTCCTCTGGGTGGTCATTTTAAGAGCCATTTATAGAGACAAATAACTTGAAAATATTTTCTCTCAGTAGCTTATCTGTATGTAAACAGCTGTGTGTGTGTGTGTGTGTGTGTGTGTGTGTGGTTTCTTGTGTGATTTTTTTTTTGTTTTTAAATGTTTTATGTAATTGGATGTATCAATCCTGTATCAGTTTGAGATTGAGCCATAGTTAGGCTTTTTCCACACCAAGGTTATAAAGGAATTCAACCATGTTTTCTTCCACTACTTAGGCAGTTACTTTTTTTCACATCTTAGTCATAAGGAGTTCATTCTGTTACATGTTATAAGACGTGGGTCCAGTTTTATTCTTCATCAGAGAGCTATGAAATCCCAACATTTTTAACACTAAATTATTTAACACTGATAGTAATTATTTAATACCCTCAATAATGTGTTGAAAGGTCAGGGTATAATTGTTTCCTTGTTCTATTTTGCATGTAAATGCCCCTTACTGTTTTTTTTTTTTTTTTCCCCCAGGAAGTCAATGAAAATTCTCTTAAGAGATTAAGTGTCTACTTAGAAAACCTCCAGAAACCAGGCTCCAAGTCTTTGAAACCAACTCAGCTTACATTTTATGTAAGAGAAACAGAGCAGAATTCTTCTGAAGGCCAGGAACCCTTTAGCACATCCGGTATGTGTTCTCATTTCTAGTGTTTCCCTTATAAGCTCTGTGATAAATCTGTTCATTAAGTGTGTTGTTGCCAGAATACCTTTGGATTGAAGACTTGGTCTTTAAAAAAAAAAAAAAAAAAGTAGTAATAATATCATTTAATTGTTTTCCTAGAATTAGATTCTATTTCTGGCTACCTGTGTTTGAACAAGCCATTTTTTGTGTTTAAACTTTTTTGTCTGTAAAACTAAAATGTTCCTATTTGTCAACTTTAAAAAAAAATTTTTTTTTAATGTTTATTTTTTTTGAGAGAGAGAGAACACAAGTCGGGGAGGGACAGAGAGAGAGGGAGACAGAGAACCTCAACAGGCTCCAGGCTGTCAGCACAGAGCCCAGTGTGGAGCTTGAACCCCTGAACCATGAGATCATGACCTGAGCCGAAGTCAGATACTCATGAGCCAGGTGCCCCCTTAAAAATTGTTTTTTAGGGGCGGCTGGGTGGCTCAGTCGGTTAAGCGGCGGACTTTGGCTCAGGTCACGATCTCGCGGTCCGTGGGTTCGAGCCCCGCATCGGGCTCTGTGCTGCCCACGCAGAGCCTGGAGCCTGTTTCAGATTCTGTGTCTCCCTCTCTCTGACCCTCCCCCGTTCATGCTCTCTCTCTCTCTGCTCAAAAATAAATTAAAAAAAAAAAAATTAAAAAAAAATTAATTTTAATCTATTTGTCCACTTCCTATTTCAGTGTTGTTTTAAGTGTTAAACGTGTTTATAACAATTTACATTTTTTAAAGTACAGCCTATAATCTCTTATTTTGTCCTCAAAGTACTCTAAAGTAGGTAGTGTTTGCCCAAATAAATTGGTAATGTGCGGGGATTTTGCCAGGACTGTGGAGATGGAATATGGGTCTTGAACTTAGGCCTTTCAACTCCAGCTTTAGGCTCTTTTATTTATTTTTTTTAAGTGGTATTTATTTATTTTGAAAGAGAGAGAGAACAAGATGGGGAGGGGCAGAAAGAGAGAGAGAGAGAGAGAAAGAGAGAATCCCAAGCAAGCTTCACACCGTCACCACAGAGCCTTACACAGGGCTCAATCTTCAGAGCCAAGAGATCATGATCTGAGCTGAAATCAACAGACTAAGCCATGCAGGTGCCTTTTGGCTCTTTTTAATCAGTCTTAATATACAGTCTTTTTATTATTATTATTATTTTTTTTTTTAGTATTTATTTTTGACAGAGAGAGACAGAGTGTGAGTGGGGGAGGGGCAGAGAAAGAGGGAGACACAGAATCTGAAGCAGGCTCCAGGCTCTGAGCTGTCAGCATAGAGCCTCATGCGGAGCTCGAACTCATGAACCGTGAGATCATGACCTGAGCCGAGGTCAGTTGCTTTAACCAACTGAGCCACCCAGGCACCCCAATATACAGCCTTCTTTTTGATCCTTTGTTACTACTTTAATCCAGATCCAGAAATACTTAAAATTAAGGGCAAATAAGGGTCTATATTTTCTCTAAATATGTACTCTTTTGGTGATTCTTGAGGAAATAACTTTATTTTTGGAGTGAACCTTAAAATAATTTAAAGGTTTACCAGGAGCTTTCTGTGAGTTAAGGTCAAAACAATTAGAAAATGCACTATAATGTTTTTTCTTGAAACAAACTATTAGAAAACTCAAAATGTGATCGTTTTGGGGACCTAGAGTCTATTTCTTGCTCTGCCAGTGACTAGCTATGTGACCTTAATTTCTGGTTCTTCATTATTAAAATGAAAGAGGTGAAATACTGTAAGTACTGAAGCATTCAGTGAAGACCCTACCTTATACCCGGGGCTCATAAGGCTCTCAGGAGCTCGCATGGAGTGAGGAGAGCTTGGGCTAAAAAGGGCTAAAGCAGGATCTTTATGTTGAAAAACACTTCCCACCCAATCTCTCCAGGAATGAACATTTGATCATGTATCTTCTCTTTGTTTTCTTACCCTCTCATGTTTGAATGTGGGAGATTAGAAATCAGAAATTCCTTGTCTGTTTCTCCATCTACCTCTGATTTGGGAGTTTTATTTAAAGAAAGACACTATTCTTCATTATCCAGAGACAAAAAGTCAACTCAGAGTCCTGTTATGAAAGCACAGCCCTACTGAAGAATGCTGTTAATGATAATAGTAGTCGTAACAAGTAATTATGTTTATCACTCTAAATGACACAGTTCTATTTGAAATTGTAAGTAATTATAAATGTGCTCTTCTTAAGCAGCTGAGATACATTCTTTAGTAGTATAAGACCAAATATTCATAAATACTCTTCAAATAGATACACAGTCAAGATTAGGCTAGGAATTGAAAAACCTCATACTTATGCATAGTTGTCTACTTAGAGTTAATGATTTCTCCTTGACAGATAGAATTTGTAAAGGTAGGTTAAGTCCTTTACAGTTTTTAAAACAATATTATCACCTTTCAGTTTTTATTTGTCTGGGTTTTGGAGAGTCAGGCTCATTTCTAGTCATTGCCACTTTCACTACTGCCATTAACTGGGTTTGTCTTGGATGTTCACCTCACATGGAGTTAAAGAATCAACCAGGTCTATAGGGTGCCTGGATGGCTCAGTTGGTTAAGTGCCAACTTCGGCTCAGGTCATGATCTCATGGTTCGTGAGTTCGAGCCTCACATCAGGCTCTGTGCTGATAGCTCAGAGCCTGGAGCCTGCTTTGGATCCTATGTCTCCCCCTCTCTCTGCCCTTCCCTCTGTCTCTCTCTCTCTCTCTCTCTCTCAAAAATAAAATTTTAAAAATTAAAAAAAAAAGAATGAACCAGGTTTATTTGTTAGGGAAGGAGCAAACAGAGGGAAACTCAAACTTAGAAAGTTTCACACAGCAAATTAGGGACAGAGCTGTTACTAGACCTAACATCTCATTCATAGTCTAATGTTGTGATTTGTATTTTACATTATCTATTCCTCTTCAAAAATTTTGTTAGTAATCATTTTTGCCTCTGCCGTTATGACAGAGTCTGGAAATCTAACAAGTATTTAAAAGATTTTTATGTTTTTAACCTTTTTATCTGATTGTAAAATTAAGATCACTGATAATTAAGATGGTAACAAGGTAAAATGTTTACTACTGATTTTCAGTACTGAAAGGCCTAAATCGTTTCTTTAGCTCTACATTTTTTGGTGGCCTGTGAGGAGATATACTCCATTAAAACAAGTGGAAGAGTTACCAGGAGCCTTCTGTGAGTTAATGTTAAAACTAGTAGGGGGCGCCTGAGTGGCTCAGTTGGTTAAGTGTCCAACTCTAGATTTTGGCTCAGGTCATGATCGCAAGGTTGGTGAGATCAAGTCCTGCGCTGGCGTCGGGGTCTGTGCTGACAGCACTGATCCTGCTTAGGATTCTTTCTCACTCTTTCCCCTCACCCTTCTCTCTCCCCTCCCCCCAAATAAATAAATAAACTTTCATAAAAATGCTAAAACAAGGAGTTGTAGTCAGCGGTGACTGAGTAGAAATAAAAATCCTCTACTTTTTTTTCTTAATTTTTTAATGTTTGTTTATTTTTGAGAGAGAGACAGACAGAGTGCAAGCAGGGGAGTTCAGAGAGAGAGGGAGACACAGAATCTGAAGAAGGCTCCAGGCTCTGAGCTATCAGCACAGAGCCCGATGCAGAGCTTGAACTCACAGACCACAAGATCATGACCTGAGCTAAGTCAGATGCTTAACCAACTGAGCCACCCAAGCACCTCTCTATTTTTTTTTTATGTTTGTTTGTGAGAGAGAGAGGGAGACAGAGACAGAGAGTGTGAGCAGAAGAGGGGCAGAGAGGGAGATACAGAATCCAAAGCAGGCTCCAGGCTCTGAGCTGTCAGCACAGAGCCCAGCACGGGGCCTGAACCCACGAACCGTAAGATCATGACCTGAGCTGAAGTCCGACGCTTAACTGACTGAGCCACCCAGGCACCCCAGGAAATAATATATACAAATAGCCAACAACCATTAAAATGTGTAGCTTCTGTAGTCACATTGGTAGAGGCATTCCTCACTATATAGCAGCCCTTACATTGGAATAAATAATTAACAGAATCAATAAGATAGAAACTGAGATTTATTCCTGACAACTCTTCTGGGGATTTGTTCCTTGACTGAGCTCTTCCTTACCTCAAATGCAGGAATTTGGACTTTGCTTTCTTCTTTCACTAACTAGAACAACTCTTCTGCCAGTATTTCTCACTTTACCATCAAATGATTGAACTAAAAAACTTCTTAGTTTGCATGTTCTGGATTCCTTAAGTCTGTGTGGTAAGGCGTGTGTGTATCTCTCATAATGATTTAAACTCTGGTGTCTGTCATCAGTGGCCAAGATAAGAAAATACATTTCAGCCTTATATGAAAAGTGAACAATTAAAAATGTTTGTGTCCATCAGTTTCAGAAGTGTTAAATAAAAATTGCACTGCCTTCAATATATGGACTGGTATATATAGCTGCTAAAAAGAATAAGTTGATCTATACATACAGACAACTGGTTAAGTAATAAAAGCAAGTTCAAAGTAATATACCTAGAATGTTACTATTTCTATATTAAAAAGAAACAATTCAAACTGTAGAGGTGTGTGTAAACAAATATGGGCATATATCACATGTATTATACATGCATAAGCACATAGAAAAGGTCTAGAGCAGTGCTGTCCAAGAGAACTTTCTGTAATGATGTCAGTGTTCTGTATGTGCACTAATATAGCAGGCACTAGCCCCATGTGACTATTGAAATGGGGTTAATGTGACCGGGAACTGAATTTTAATTTTATTTCATTTTGATTAATTTAATCCTAAACTGCCATTAGAGGGCTAGTAGCTACCATATTAGACAGTGCAGGTCGAAAAGCACAGGTTCCTAATTGTTAGTAATGGTTATGTCTAGTAAAGATGTGAGTCTGTATGTCTGTGAACAGACTTTTATTTTTACTATATGTATCTCCAATTTCATAGTGAGGATGTACTTATAAAATAATTGTATAATTTTTGAAACCAACTAAAAATACTTTTTTTAAAAAAAAAAGAAGAAAGAGTCAGTGTTGGGGTGGTATAATGGAGAAAATACTGGGCTTGGGGTCAACTCAGATTTAAGCCCTTGCTCTGTTTTCCTAACCTCCTTAAGCCAGATTTCTTCACAGTTGAAGAAAGATAATAGTGACACAGTTGGTGAGGATGTTGAGAAGTTGTATAAATTCAGCTGGAACCATGCCTAACCCCCAGTAATGAAGAAAAGAAAAAACAGTGGATTTCCTATTGAGAATGTAACACATTAGATTACTGACCTTACCCCACTGACTACCCAAAATCAAAATCAGATTGTGAAGCATTAACTTTTAACCAGTTAGGGAATTTTACATCACTGCCAAAAATATTGAGTTACTAGGTAGCTGAGTGGACAAATAGGAAGATGGTCTCCTGTAATCACAGAGAAAATTTGAGATGGGTTTCTGTCACCCCTGAGACTAGGCCACTCCCATCTGAACCATTGTTACAGTAAAACCTCCCCATCTCCCATCTCTCCTCCTTTGTCTTAGTGCTAGAAACCATCTTTCATGGATACTTGCTAATAGGAGAGCTTTTCCATTCTAGACTATAGAGACCATATTTATGGGCAGCATTGAAAATATTCTGAATCCCCTCCTTGGGCTGGAATGGGTTTGGTCTCTAGTGCCAGACTAGAAAGAAAAACTGACAGAGGAATTCATGAAGGTAAAGATACTGTGGTAAAGTTTTAGAGAAGAGTAGTTTTCCATTTACAGATGATTGCCAATAGGATGGATTTTAAGCAGTAATCAAATGTTTTAAAAGATTTTGATTTTATTAATGTTGCATGAAAAATTATTTTTAAATAAATGAATAATCATCTGTATTAATTGTTTGGGGGAATTATATTCTCTAGGATTTCGAGCAGTCAAATTTACTTTGCACACCAGAGATCTGCTAAGCACAGTATTATATATTCTCAACTCCTGCAGTTTATCTGTTGAACATATCCAAAGCTTGAATACTAATGTGTGTTCCCAGCCTCTCAAAGAGGCTAAAAGGATGCCTGACAGGCCCATCAAGTGGGACAAGTCTTATTACTACTTTACTGGATTCAAGGACCCTCATGAAGACCTTGAACAAGTCTCGAGAATGGAAACAACCCTCACGTATGTAAAAGTTCCTATTTAATTAAACTTATTTCTAGTTCATGTTTAAAATTAAAGCCTAATTTTTCAGGAAAAATAATTCTATCAATATAGTTAATCCAGTGACCATTATGAAAAAGATAGTTCATGTTTCTTAAAGTGGCCAGAATACTTTCAAATGTATTTAATTTGTGGTCTTTTGATGCCAAACAAATGCAGGAAGTTGTTTTAAATTTTAAAAATTCTACTCTTCAAGTTACCCCTGGTATATGGAAAAAGGATGTATATACATAAGACTATAAAAAATATGAGGCTTCTTCAGGTAAGCATTTCCTGTTTCTTCAGCTAGTGTAGGAGTAATGTTCTTTAGTGTAACAGTCCATACATAATAAAAATGCATGGAGACAGCGCTTGAAAATATCATCTCTAGGGGGTTATAAAGTACAAACTCTCAGCTATAAAATAAACTAGGCCTAGCGATGTAACAGACAGCATGGGTACTGTGGTCAATAATACTGTATTGTGTATTTGAAAGTTGCTGAGAGAGTAGATCTTCATAAGAAAAACAGTTGATAACTACATATGGTGATAGCTGTTAACTAGACTTACTTTAGTAAGTGTAATATACACTAATATAGAATCATGCTATATACATAAAACTAATGTTATATGTCACTTATATCTAATTTTTTTTAATATATCATCTGGAATGTATTGAGAAAGAATAATTTTTAGTTATAAAAGCCATGTATGAAATATTTCCCTATGATTTATCTTGTTTGTAAAGTCACCATTAATGTTTTTTAAGTAAGTCCTTTTTGGACTCCATAAAGACCAGCCATATTCTGTTCTGTGGTTGTATTTAAACAGTCCATGGCTTACCAGAGGATTCTCACTTTTTACAGCATGGTAGAGAATCCTTAATCCTCCATTGGCAGAACATTTACTTTGTAGATTACCTGTACTACCTCAGGAATCCCTGCTCCCATTATCTAGCTAGATTCCAAACAAAGCTGAAGAGACAAGAAAGTAACAGAGTCTTATACAGAAAGGGAGACCAGTGTCTGCCTGAAGGCATGTCTGTGGTGAAGGTGTGTCTCTATCTATATGTGCAGCTAATAGGTAAATCACCTCCCTAAATATGTGGATTTCAATTGTTCAAATTTTCTTGGTAAATAAAACCAAGAGGAAAATTTGGCTATGGGAATGATAATTTATTTTTTCTTTTTTTTTTAATATATGAAATTTATTCTCAAATTGGTTTCCATACAACACCCAGTGCTCATCCCAAAAGATGCCCTCTTCAATACCCATCACCCACCCACCCCTCCCTCCCACCCCCCATCAACCCTCAGTTTGTTCTCAGTTTTCAAGAGTCACTTATGCTATGGCTCACTGGGAATGATAATTTAATGATAGACCAGCAGTAATGAAGATAGCATGAAGAAGTAGGGATAAGAAAAACAAAGAGCAGTCATGGTAGGATAGAAAGTGATGATTTAGAAAAAAAGTTTAGAAAAATAAAAGATGATTGAAGGTGAATTACGTGCACAGGCTACATTGGAAGTCAAGTGGGTTGCTGTGCCCTTGGGGCGCTTCAAGCCCCTTTTAGCCCCTTCAAACCAGTCTTGACCTGCTCCCAAACACAGATAATTGCCCTCTTTGAAGGCATTCTCTGAGGGCTTCTTCAACAGTTTGTTTTATGTTAGTTTTTCCCAGTAAGGATTCCAGGGGATTTTATCATGAAAGCCAGAACGTTATCTATCAATTCTTTCTTCAATTATTAGTGTTTTTAAATTAGTAATTATTGAGAATCCTGGGAAGATGGCAGCGGAGGAGGACGCTGGACTCACCGCGCGTCCTGCTGATCACTTAGATTCCACCTACACCTGCCTAAATAACCCAGAAAACCACCAGAAGACTAGCAGAACGGAGTCTCCGGAGCTAAGTGTAGACAAGAGGCCCACGGAAGAGGGTAGGAAGGCCAGAGAGGCAGTTGCGCGCTACATGGACTGGCGGGAGGGAGCCGGGGTGGAGGGGCGGCCCGCCGGCCAAGCAGAGCCCCCGAGTCTGGCTTGCAAAAGTGGAGGGGCCAGACGGAGTGTGTTCCGACAGCAAGCGGGACTTAACATCTGCAAGGTTATAAGCTAACAGCTCTGCTTGGAGAGCGGGAGGGCTGGAGGACAACGGGAGGGAGAGTTGTTGAGCCCCGGATGACAGAGCTCAGCTTGGCGGGGAACAAAGGCGCTCGCCAGCGCCATCTCCCTTGCCCATCCCCCAGCCAAAATCCCAAAGGGAACCGGTTCCTGCCAGGGAACTTGCTTGCACCGCGCAAACACCCAACGCTGTGCTTCTGCAGATCCCTCCCTCCAGCGGGTCTGACTCCCGCCTGGTGCCGCAGGGCCCCTCCAGAAGCGGGTCTCCAAAGGGTAAGCGAGCTGAGTCTGTCCCTCCTGCCCCTGTACACCTTGCTGATCCGTCCCAGGTAATACGCCAGATCCCCAGCACCACAAGCCTGGCAGTGTGCAAGTAGCCCAGACGGGCCATGCCACCCCACAGTGAATCCCGCCCCTAGGAGAAGGAAAGAGAAGGCACACACCAGTCTGACTGTGGCCCCAGCGGTGGGCTGGGGGCAGACATCAGGGCTGACTGCGGCCCCGCCCACCAACGCAAGTTATTCAAGACAGCACAGGGGAAGTGCCCCGCAGTCCCACACCACTCCAGGGACTGTTCAAAACGACAAAACGGAAGAATTCCCCTCAGAAAAACATCCAGGAAATAACAACAGCTAACGAACTGATCAAAAAAGATTTAAACAATATAACAGAAAGTGAATTTAGAATAATAGTCATAAAATTAATCGTTGGGCTTGAAAACAGTATAAAGGACAGCAGAGAATCTCTTGCTACAAAGATCAAGGACTAAGGAACAGGCAGGAGGAG